TAATTGCGCTTAATATTTCCATCTTTTTTCGTCCATATGAAAAGTTATAAAAAAAAACCAAAATTTTTGTCAATTTTAAAACAAAATATTCTTATTTCAATGTTTTGTGCGGAAAAAAAATTCTTTTTCTCAAAATTAATTAATTGAAATAATTTAGAAAGTATGGGAAAAAGTATGAAAAGTTTGAAATTTTTCCAAGCATATTTTTTCATATATTTTGCTTAAAAAAAAAAAAAAAAAAAAAAAAAAAAAAAAAACTTCATTACCAAACCGTATCTCTGTGAAATTAAATGATCTTTCTTAAAGAAAAAAAGAAAAAAGATTTTCAGAAAAAACGGAAAAATGCTTATTGAAAATTTACTCATGTGTAGTAATTTTTTCTTTTTTAATTTTACTCAATTAGTAATCTTTGTCCAAGTGGAAAAAAAAACGAAAAAAGAAGCTTTTCTATGAGAATTTTAAAAAAAAAAAAAACATTCTAATTCACATTTACTTAATTTTTTTTGTTACATTTATATATTTTTCTTCCAACCATGTTTGACTATTAATTTTTTTAAAATATTAATTATAAATTTGTTTCTTTTCCGCTATTTTTTTATCACTCCAAATGATCGCATATTGAAAATTATTCATAATCAGTGCACATTTCATGGTATCAAATTTTATTATTCGCTATCTGTTAGTAATACATTTGTTTCATTCATTCATTCATTCATTTCATTTCATTTCATTATCAGTTTGATTTATATTCTTTCGTTTATCTGTTGTATTTATATAATAATAGCGCTAATGGGATCAGATGGAAAAATATTGTAATAGTATTCAACAAAGTAGTATTTTGCTCAAAGTCTTATTCTGTCCAAAACTACATATTTCCTCCAAAACAATGTATTTCACCCAAAATGGATCGTTTTTTTTTTTTCTTAAAATAACTTATTTTGTTCGAAGCAGATATTTAGTCCAAAATTTTGCCTTAAAAAAAGTATATTTGCCCCAAAACAGTATAATTTTCTTCAAAATAACCTATTTCTAGAAATTGATATTTTACCTGAAATATGCTATTTCTGACAAAATAGCATATTAGTTTATTATTGTTGAATACCTTGTCCAAAGCAACGTATTTTACCCGTTATCATATTTGCTAAAACAATACGTTCTGCCTAAAATACCGCATTTACAGAGTATTTTACATGAAATGCGTATTTCAAGTAAATTAGTATATTTCGCTCAAAAAAGTATTTTCTGTCAAAAATCGTTTAAGCAAGTTAAAGTTTCAGGAAGTAAAAGATTAAACTTAAAATAAACATAATAGTAAATGAATAAAACATTCATCACTCATTCAAAAAATTGCATTTATTCAATTTATTTTATTATTTTCATTAGTTATTCCGCTTCAATGAAAGAAAAAAAGATTTCTAAATACCGAAAAGTTACAAAAAAGATTTCGAATTGTTCAAATTTTAAAAAACTCCAGGAAAATATTTCCGCTAAATATTCAAAGATTCGAAAAATTGATTTCAAATTGAAATACTTAAAATTTCTTGGATTTTTTTCGTCGAGTTTTTTTCTCGAATAATTACCTAGTTACACAAAGATGATCGCATAGATAAAAAGAAGCATTTAAATTCAGTTTTTGATTTGATTTAAGTGTAATTTTTTTAAGCTACTTTTTTCTCTTTGTGAAAAAAAAAGTTATTTTAGAACAATTAGTAAAAAAATGACTTATTGTTTGCAATATAAAGTATTACGATTTAACTTTCAAAAATTGATTTTCAGCAGTTTTTCGATTTTTTTTTTTTTTTTTTTTTACAAATTGAGAAAGTAAGTAAGCGACTAAAGATAAATGTTTAAAGCGAATTTCGAAATTCTGTTTTTTTTACCCATTAATTTTGATGACAAATATTAAAAATTTTAGAATTCCGATTTTTTTTCTTCCATCACTTTAGAATACTTCAAAAATTAGCTTTGATATAATTTCGCATCTAATATAATTTGACTTCAAACAACATTTGATTAAATCCCAAGAGATACAAATGTATTTCCTGTGTCTTTTCATTATTTATAGATGCTTGGCTGATTTTTTTTTTTTTAATTTAATGGCCTAAAATTTTTGAGCAGGAAATTTTTATTCCCAAAATCATAATTTGATTCGGTAGTTAATGAGTAATCGATTTAATAGTTTGTTATTACTACATTTCATTTTCGATTATTTTTTCTAATCAATATTATTACAGTATTAATTACTATTTATTAAAATTAATGCTATTATTACCAATACTATCTATTTGCAAAAGAATTTCCAAGAAGAAATTTGTCTTATGATAAAGTATTAAACTGATTAGTGGTAGTATGGATTTAAAATATTCCTTTAAAACTTTAAAACTGTATTTAATTATTAATGGTAATTTGCACTCAAAATATCTTACGTAATTCATAGTTTATACTTAAAATATTTTACGTAATTCATCAATTTCTTCTTTTTCATCATGGCAATTTTTCATGTTTTTCAATTATTGCGTGTTGCTGTATCTTTTTTGCTATTATTTATTTACAATTTTTAAAAATATAAACAAAAATAGCTTTTATGTATATCATGACAATTTAAAAAGCAACTGGAAATGTTAACTGAAAAATTCTTGGGATGAACATAATTCATTGATTCGTTGCATTACTGATGAAATGAATAGGAGTTAGCTTCTCGAGACAAGAAATAAGTGGTTGAGAGAATGAGGCTAGGCCGAAATTATTCATTTAACAATCGAAAATGAGCCTAGAACAAAGTCATTCCATTTCAACCATATTCCATCAGGCTTTGCAATATTTTCGAAATGATGAAATTACGATTTGCATATTGAAAAGCTATTTTGGTAAATTGATTTTTTTTTTCAAACAAGGAAAAAAGGCGGAAAGTGTAGTTGACATTACCGCATTGACAAAATATTTGAAGGATAACGGATGAGAGAATGAATGGCTTATGAAAGAGGAAGAAAAAAGCATAAAGCTATCAAGAATATGTTGAAATTTTCACTTCTCTGTTTTTTTAGCTCTCGACTTGCTCAACTTTTTAGATCGTATTGAAGGGTTTCCTTTTTTTTTTTTTTTTTCTTTCACTATTATAATGTTTTCATCTCTCTCTCTCTCTCTGTCTTTTTCTCTTTCTAGTTACTCTTCTAATAATTTTATTTAAGCCAAAAGAAAGAGAAAGAGAGAGGGAAGGAAAGAAAAGAATAAAAAGCTTTATAAATGTATTCAAGTCAATAATCATTCAAGAAAAAATTTCTTTTTTCCTTTTTTCCCCATCAGTTTTGAAATTTTTTCAAGATTTTTTGTAAAAATTTATTTAAAAAAAAAAATAAGATAGAAAATAAAATGAATAGAAAAAAAAAAAAATTTTCATTAAACAGAATTTTTGTTGTACTGTCGTGCAGAAGAAAAAAAGTTTCATTTTTTTTTATTATCGCTTTTGATTTTTTCTTGATTTATTTACTATTAGACATTAGTTTATTATAGTTTATTGATTATCTCAATTTTAGTGAAAAGATAAAAAAGACTAACACATTTTCTTGATAAATTTTCCTTTTAGTACAAAAAAAAAAAAAAATGTGAGGTAATAAAAAGAAGACTTTCGACAAAATAATTGTATCATTTGAAAAGAATTAAAATAAAATGAGGAAAAAAGAAAAAAAAAAAAGAGACGAAAGACGTTATCAATATATGAAATAATTCAGAACAAGAATACATTTTGAAAATTGCTTCTTTTATTCAAAAAAGAAAAATAAAAAAAGAAAGATAGAGGAAAAGGGAAAAAAAGAGCACAAAGAAAAAACTGGAATGGAATAAAATTTTGTTATCTGATATTAAAAAAGCAAAAAAAAAAAAAAGAAAAGTTTATGCGTTTAATCATTTAATAAGTAAATTTATCAGTGTTATTTCATATAAAATCATGCTATTGTCATTATTATTACTGCTGTTGCTCTTATTGTTACAGATCAATAATGTTATTATTAATTATTATTGAAATAGATTTAACTATATACATATATCCTTGAAAAAGAAAAAAAAAAACCAGTTTTTCCCTTTTTTATCGGTGCACCTTTTTATCATTTGAGCAACAAACAATTCATCTCATATTGTCAATTTCATCTGTCATTCATCACCGTCACTGTCACTGTCATCGTCATTATCGTTGTCATTGCTAACGCCATTGTCACCTTCATTGTCATTGTCATTCAATTGTCCTCTATTTCTACCTTTTCCAGATAAAGATAACACTGGTGGTGTTATTGCTACTACCACTGCTACTACCACTGCTATTAGTACCATTACTGCTTCTGCTACTACCGTTATTATTATACTTCATTAATTAGTTGAAAATATTAATTAGTCAATTTCGTTTTCTAATTTTCCACATTTGGTTTTCCACATGGTTTTCTGTTTCATATTGTCTATTCCGATTGCTATTTTCACTAATAATTGACAAATTTTTCAAAATTTTTGAAAATAGAAAGAAAGGAAATGAAAAACAAAGATTACTAAAAATAAAATTAAAAAAAAAAAAAAAAAAAAAAGAGGAGGAAATAATATTTATTGTGAATTGAAGAAATCAAATGAAATCCTAACGGATTACACACAATTGTTCACTGTTACTAGTACTGTTAAGTTGATCAAATTACTACAAAGAAACTGTCAACACCAGCAATTATTGTAATTTATGCTGTCGCCAATGATTTCTCTTCATTTTCTTCATTGTAATTCAATTACTACTAATTACTAATTATCATTATTACTATTATGACTACTATTAATAATATTTAACTGGGATGGATAATATTATTACAAAATAAAAACCGGTTACTAATAACTGATTCACTACAATTCAAAATTATTATTCTTTGCTTCTTCGATTTTATAATAATTTATTTAAATCATATTAGTTCCTATCATCATCTTAATTTCGCTATTAATTGGTTATATTTACATATTAAATTTAATTGATCCATATGTTTTTCCTTATTTCATTTATCATTTTCTTGTGGCATTGTTTACTTCGATTAGCTTCGTGCATTCATCATCATTGGCAGTTATATCGATGTAAATCAAATTATTATGATAATGCATTTGGAAATAATGATTATAATCATCATCATCATCATCATCAAAATGCGCCATTTTTAATTGATGATAATGAAGAAAAATTGGATTTGGAAGGAAATATTAGAGGTATTTTGCTATATTTTAAAGGAAGAAATGAATATTTAATATATATTTTCTTATGGCATTGTTTACTTCGTTTGATTATCAAGTTTAATTAATTTAAAAGGACACGTTTAGTATTTATTTAGTAATAGTTTTATTTGAAATTAATTTTGTCAATATACATTTAATAAAGTATTCCTTTTTATTCTTAACAATATAATTTAAATCATTTCCTAAATGTTTCTGATATATTTGTTAAAAAAACACAAAGAAAAAAGGATTTGAAACTTTCTGTTAAATTTGTAGCAAATAATAATATACCTTATTTTTTAAAATGATTAATTCTATATTATTTTACTAAAGTATTTAACTAAATCATTATCACTTATTATAAAAGATGAAGCATTTTGACAAAGCAAAACTAAACATTGAACATTTATGATATATTATTATTTACATAGCAATTATTTATTTGCTTAATTATTTGCATAGCAATCAATATTTATTTCAACAACGAAAGTATTACACTTCCTTATGCAATAGTTAAAAGTTTCTCTTTTCTATCACTGATAATTTAACTTACAACAATATTTTCCCGCACTCACTTTTCTTTTTAAACTTTCGGTTAAAAAAAAAAAAAAACTATTTTTTTTTTTTTTTTGAAATTTCTTACGACAGTTTGCAAAGAGATTTTTCATATATATTTCTTTTTTCAAAATGTGTAATTTTAAAAGTGAAATTTATGACCGCTCTCCGACACTTTTTTTCCACTTCAAAAAAGTATTGTTGTTAAAATGGGTAATTTGAGAAACGAGATGGCGCCAACGAAACATTTTTCAATTTAATATTTCTCTCTCTCTTTCTTATATAATTCAATCCATTTCTTCTGGAATAATTTTTTTTTTTTTTGAAAAATATAGCCATAAGTTCCTTTGGATCATTTAATTCAAATTTTTTCTTATTTTTCAGAATTATCAAATTTTTCATTTCTATCACTCCGGGGAACAAAAAAAAAAAAAGAGGAAAAGATGATACCGAAAACAAAATTTATATTTTTTGCTTTTTTTTTAAATATTAATTAAATTTGAAATAATACTACCGAAATAGCATAAAAATGAAAAGTAACAAAGAAATTCTGTTCAGAATGTAATTTTTTGCTTTGGTCACTTTTTTTTTTTTAAAGAAAAATGCTATACTTTCGTTGCTATTTTAAAAATTTTCATTCAAAATTATCTTCAAATTTCATTTCTTCAAAATGTCATTCAACTTGATAAACCTTTCACATTATTTTTCACGCAGTCTACTCGATTATTCTCAACAAAAAAAATTCCCAATAATTTTTTGTTGAATATTACAAATATGAAATAAAGAAAATTTTTAAATTCCTGAAGAATTTCATTAGTAAAATAATAATAAATGCTAAAATTTTAATGAAGCCCACTTGCTGTCTGATTAGATAAATTTTAAAACGAAAAGAAAATATTCTCTTAATTTTCCATTTATTTCATTCATTTCTTCTCTTAAAAATTAGAAAAAAATTTAGATCTGAAATTCATAAGAAGAGATAATTTAAAAATTGCTAAAAGTATGAAAGAGAAAGAGAAATGATTCAAAAAATAATTTTAGTAAAATTGCTTTTCTTTTTTGTATATTTTAAAAATATATTTGTTGTCATTAATTCATTAATTACAATTACATTTCACAATTCCTTCTCTTCCCATTTCTTACTTTCCTTTTTCCTTTCTCACAATTTTTTTTTTTTTCAAATTCGGAAAACAAAAAGAAAAGTAAGAGGTTATTTAAATTTTTGTACGAGAAAATAACAATTTTACTAATTGAATTAAATTAAATATATATTATTTCTCCTTAGAAAAAACAAATTGCAAGAAAAAAAAGTCATAAGATGTGAAGTAATAAAAAAGCTCCTTTTTCAGTTTCTTTCTCTATTTTTTATTCCCAAAATTTGTCATTACTTTCGTTTTAATCAAATTCATATAATAATTTGAAATATGTAAAATGAGAAGAAAAAATGATTCATTAATAAAATTATATGTTTGTTTTAAAATTTCCTTTCCATTCTTTTCATCACATGCACTCTTCTTTCTTGTTTCGTGCTAATGCTTGTGTGAAAAACAAGAAAAAAAAAAGAAATTAAATTCAATCAAAAATGAAATGAACAAAAAAGAAAGCGAAAATTATAAAAATAAATCTAAAAATTTTAAAGCGAAAAAAAAAAAAAATTTCAATTTTTTGTCGATAATTTCATCAACCGTTGCGCACAATGTGCTAATTGGTTGGAACTGACGTACTGTTAAAATGTTGCGAATTTGAAATTTATTTTCTTTTTTATAAATTATAATTTTTTAATTAATAAATTTTCAAAGTACATACAAAAGCTAAGTTTTTATTTATAGCCCTAAATTTTTTATTCAATTGTTAACATTTTTCTTCTTCTCTTTTTATTTTTGTATGTAAAACATTAGTTTCTTTTTTTATATCTGCGTCTGATAATTTCGAATTTTTTCTCTTCATCCTTCTATTCCTCTCTGCAAGAGAAGAAAATTTGTTTAGCTTTTAACCAGGGTAAAGTTTTCTTACCTCTGTAAAGTGTCATGTCCTAATATTTCCACTCCTATCAAAATTGTCACCTGTTGTGATAAAATCTGTCGTATGTCGAGAATGTCAACGATATTACTGCCTTAGGGTAGATGTATTTCATTATGTTTTAGTGACAGATATGTGAAACATTTTCAAATAGATTTAATTAATTATCAAATTTGTTTGCAGCTTGTATAATTTCAAACTTTTCATCTGTTATTCATATTAATGATATTACTTTCACACGTCTAATAGGCATACGCGTTTATACGTATTTACAAAATTAATTACTTATATACATGTATTAGAATATATTTATTTATACGTACGAGAGAATTTACTTCTATTTATATAATAGAATTTATACTTTCTAAACACAATTTATTTATACATGCAATAGAATTAATTATTTCAACGTCTAACAGAACTTGTTTGTATATACAACAGAATTTATTATACGTCACAAAAACTTTATAAATAATAGAATACGTAACAAAAAAGTGTTAACGTTATGAATTTCACTTTATAAATTCTATCACATTATAAATTTTAATATTTAATGTTATAAATGATACTTCAAAAAAAATAGAAAAAAGAAAATAAAAGAAATAATTCGCAATTCCAAGAGACGAAATAAACGCAATAAATGCAATAAATATTTATAGACGCAATAAACGTGTACACACACACACACGCAAAGATGCAACTTAGTTTATTACTTCCCAAATTAATATAAAAATATATGGTCTGCATTTATTGTCGTAAAGTCTTTCAAACCTTCCACTTTATATTATTTCACTTTTTTTTTCTTTTTTTGATTTTTAACTAAAAAAAATATAAGCTTTAAGAGTGAAATGATACTATCATTTTTTAATTAAACAAATAGTGGAGAGAAATAAAATTTTTAAATAATTGGGATTAATTTTTAATATCTCTTTGCTTTAAAGCATTGCTTATAACTTTTACAGTTTAATGAACGAGAAAAATTTTTTTTTCAAGTTTGAAATTATAAAAGGTCTTTTTTATGCAAGAATCACTCATTTTTTTAAATAGTGCGAAAAAAGATGAATAATAATTTAATTTTTTGAAAGGTAAGATAAAATAATTTCATAAAAACATATTTCACGAGTAAAAATTCTCCTTATCACAATTGAAATTAAATTGACATTGTCTAAATTACAAACGAATTTATAATTTTCCATATCTTAAGGTAAAAATAAAAGAGTAAAAAATTCAATACGTTTACTTAAGCTTAATTCAAAAGTATATTTCTGATCCTTTAAAGTCGAATATTCTTGTTGCAGTCTGTCTTATTAGAATTATTAACAAAATATTCTTTTTTTAACAGATTTTAATACTATTGATTTTCAAAATTTATTTTTTTAACTGTAAATTTCATTCAAATTTTTATTTCTGCTTTTTTTGCACTTTTTAATTATTTAATTCATTCAACTTTAAATATCACTAAAATTGTCGAGAATTTTTTTTGTTTCCTGAATTCTATCTTTTTAGTCCTAAAATTTTCCCAAATTTTTGATTTAGCAGGTTAATATTCCATTCACTTTTTCACTAGTTTGGTAAAAAATAGGCTCATATGTATACAAATTTGCTAAATTATATCTGCTGGAAAATAATTTTAGGAATAAAGAAAAAAATGAAAACATAAAACAGTCGGAAACTTGTCTTCAATTTTTATTTCCTGAGTTCTGTCTTTGCAATCCAAAAGATTTGATTTAACAGGTTAATATTCAATTTTTAGGATTGATTTATATTTATATAAGCCTTTTCGTTTTTAGCTATTTTATTTTATGGATCAAAGCTTAAGGATATTTTACTTCTTTTCCACTTAGCATCCGTTGAGCTTAGGAAATGATTAATTAATTATCTAATGAAGTGCAAGTGAGAATTCGTCCCGTTATTATTAAAGAAATGATAATTATTTATGAATGAATGTAATATTTCATGAAATGTTTAATTCAGATGATTTATTAGTTCAATTATTAAACTATTTTGTGCATTTGTTTTTTGTTAAGTTAAATTCTGAAACAAAAACTTTAAAAATTTCTAAAAAAAAAAAAAAAAAAACGAGGAAAATTATTGGTCGTAATAAAATAAACATATATGTGGATCATTTTCACTTCCTCATTTCTACTTTCTCTCCTTTTTTTTTTTCCAAGAAGACTTTTTTCTGGTTAGAAAAAAATTTTTTTTATAGTGCTTTTAAAGCTTTTTTAATTTTAAAGCTATCTTAGTGCAGGAAAAAATCAATGGATTATTTCAATAAAATATTTGCACTTTTATGATACTCAAACATGCATTTGCTAATTTTTTTTTCCTTCTCTTCCAATTAACTTAGCACAAAATTTGCACAAAAAAGTAATACAAAATTTATTCATTTTTCTTTTTCATAAACTAACAATATTTCT